CCACGTGAGCGGTCAGCTACACGTCCCTGCCTCTTTACCTCCGGGGGAAAGAGCCCCCGGTACCCATTGGATGGGAGTTTGGATGAACCCCAGAACCGGTCTTGTCGACGTGGGAAAAAGAAAATTCTTGACCGCACCGGAACTCGAACTCCGACCCCTCGGTCGTCCAGCCCGTAACCAATTGCTAAACCGACTACGCTACCCCGGCTCCCTTGAAAATTGATGTTCACTAAAATTGGAGAAAATGTCAGTGTTAATTGTAGAATTCTAGATTAACTTTACGGAAAGGGATCGAGACTCAAGAAGGTGATTGTTGTATGAGATGTTTCATTTTAATACAAAAGGAAATTCATACATTCGAGATAGAGTTGACTATAAAGAAAATGCAAGGAATGTTCAAATATGTGAAAACGCCCTTAAGAAGTGAAAACTGATATTCAATTGATTGAAGGATGTCAGAAGAACTGAAAATTATTAAACTAAGGTTGGATTTGGCCAGAGTTCTGAATACGAGGATCTATGACGAAAAACCTGAATATTCTCAATAGACAGCAATAAATGGTGTGAAGTGGATACATCTGGTTCAGAATAGGGATAGTGGAGGGCTCCTTTGAACACGGCAATGAACCTTCGGGTTCCTTAAAATGCTGGGAAGTTCTTGAGTAGCTGCACAACTGGCGGTTTCTCAACAAAGGTTCAGCTCCATCTACGCCTAGGTACCCTTAAATCTCTTTCCTACATATCTTCCGGTGAAAATGTTATATGAATTTCTCATCTCTTCTGTTCATGTATAGGCCCCCCTCCACACTTTCCCTTCTCTCTGGCCACTCTAAAATATGTTATGGGTATATGGATATAAATTTTGAAGTTCTTCACAGCTCGGTCTTCTACAGCTTCATATTACCGCCTCACTTAAGCCCGTTTTCTGCTCACCGGTTTGTTCTCAAACAGCCTGAACCATGTGATTTCTTTACAGAGAGAAATCAACTATCAAACTCGTATAAAAGAACACAGACGCTCTTCAGGGGTGGTCTAAGTTTGAATCATTTAGGTACGTGTTTCTGCTCTAGCCTGTACAGCCTGCAATATCCCAGAGCAGTGTGTCTGTTAGTTTCGTTGAACTGTTTTGCCTCCATAGCATCGTCAGGTCCCCCCGGAACTGTGAATGCATTACTGCATTATCGGGGGCCAATAGAATCAATGTGCTCTACAAGTGATGTAACATTACATGTAATTATTGATAGTAATTATATGATTACAGGATACAAATCCCGTTGAAATTACATATGGAATGATATCCGCTTAGCGATTCAGTTGCATATTGAAACACTATGAAACTCACACAGACTTACAAATGAGAAATCCATGCTCACGTGACATTTACGCCATAGCCATTAACTCTACAAGTCATTGAGGCTGTTTTCATGCATCATTTCACGACAGTTGCTACAGATGTCTTAAGTTTTTTAAATAGTCTTGCTTTCAATTCTACCTGAAAAATAAATTTCTCCAAAGTAAAGGGGTACAATTATAAAATATATACTTCCAGCCTACCAATTTTGTTGGCTACGTGCTGGATACTCTGAGTTCGACTGCGGAAAAATGAACAGCGCAAGAAGGACGCGCAAAGGACACCAAGACCGAATGCAGACGTTGCCAGCAAAATGCCGCGGAGCCGAAACCGAGGGAGAACCTTTAGGCTGTTCGGGGACGAACAACCTTTAGAAGGGAGCAATGTAACGTGTTGGGAATCCAGAAGAGTCACTTCTATGGAAACGCTAGAATAGACCGTTGCATAGGAAACAACAATCGCTCCATTGTAGTTCTAACAGGAGTCTCCATGGTTATAACAGAGGGTTCATTTGCATAGCAGCGGCCGAGGGGATAAATAGCCCAGCTTCGGCGAGAAGCAGTCAGTCTTTGTCCAGCCTCCGAAGAAGAGTGTCTTGGTTTATCGGCCGCAGATAAATGTTGAATGGTCAGGGAGCTGTTTCTCTGTTACCAAGCACAGATCGATTCTGGGACCATTCAACTTTCCATCAAAAGCAAGAGGGTAAAAGGCAGAGAGTGAAGCTAACCACTTATTTCCGTTAAGTGCTAAGAAATGGAATGCGTTGGTCATGAACTCCTCACCTTCATGGCATGACAGCAGTGTTAGCTTGAGACTTTAATTCTTCTGTCATAAAGATTTTTGTAGAGAATAAAAGTAAGCCTAGAAGCATTTGTAACATCTAGTCAGAGCCGATATGCATTTATTTAATACGTAAATTTCGACTGAAGGTTTAGAAGCCCGTGATTAAACATGTTGAGCAGATTATATACTTAATCTTATTTCAGGATATCTTCTTGGTAAATTCATTTTGAAAAAATGCTAAAATTCGGGGAATTGGAGGAATCCCGAAATCAAATAAATGTGAAACTCTCTCGGTTAATGTGAAGCATTTGCTGTAGCACCTACCGTTCACGCTATAACCAGCTTCCATACCTCTACGGTAATACATAGGAGTTCAGCAAGATCTCTTAAATTTAATTCTATGTAGTACGCTAATACTCGCTTATCTTGTCAAGAAGTTCCCGCCATTTAAGTAACCCTAATACTCATAACCGCATTCACAAGAGCCCCACTCTGTGACAGATGAATCTAGTCAACACAATCCCGGCCTATTTCTTCGGCATTCCCTTCAATATTAAATTTCCGCCTTCCAAGTGGTATCATCCCTTAACATTTCCAGATAATTTTTTACGTCAATTTACAATCTACTTGACCACTGTAAGTAATAAGTAAATGCGATGGGTGCTTATGTCGTGAAGGCGGCAGCTGCCCAGTGGCAGTACTCTACCTTTTAGTTACATAAGTCTTCTGGCCAGGTTGTCCTCAGTCGTCTTGCTGCTGGGTGCGGTTTCGTTTATTCAACGATTAGCGGGTTCTCGTGTCTTGTTATCCGAGTACGGTGTCTGGTGGCATGCGATAAAATTTTGTGCGCATTTCTCATCTATACCCTGCCTCGCCTCTGCTCGTCTTCCTGCAGTCTTTCACTACATCACTGGCATGACGAGCCTGGAATACGCGCATTCATTACCTCTAAGTTGATCAGGTAATGACTGATCACCTGATGGTGCTTCTGGGTGGGAATATTGATCAAACATCTGTACGTGACTGTTACTGCAATAAATCCTCAACATTTCTGGTTTCAACGACCGATCGCTATTAACACGGCGTAGCATGGCCTTGAGCTCTTTCTTTCAGGCCGTTAGAACTCAACTCATTTGATCACTGAACGAATCCATCCTCTTTGCTATTGGCTACAATAATTTATTCTCCCCAGATCTATAACCAAGTAATATATTTGTGTCATATTTCAAACGTCAGAATCACATTCTGTCCCATTCTTTCAACCCCATTGCAACTGATGCATTCATCTACCAACTCCAGCCTACAAGTTATGCATTCCCTCGGCCGTAACCCGCTTCCATCAACCCAGACTCTCGTGCATTCATTTTGTAGTCATAAGTTCTCTTCCTGTGTCTGCAGTCACAACTTGCGATCTTATTTTACGGTTACATTGCACCAGGCACTCCATAGTTGGTATCACTTTCCTCCACAGCTTGTTTATAAGGGATTTAACTTGGCAATCAGCAATGAAAATGTCTGAAACAAGAATATTCAACATTATTTTATCCTATATTTTCCATGCTTGATGTCACTTGTTTTGTTTATTTCCTTCTTACCTCATTCATAGGCAGTTCGTAAATATTTTTCAGCTACATCTATCAAAAGGGTTGCGAATTACGAACTGGAAATCCGTGAATCGAAAACGAAATTACGGTCTTCTTCCTGAGAGGCTGATGATAATTACGAAAATCAATAAAGGTACTCCCTCTCACGGCCAGTATCGAAATCATAATCTACCATACGAAATAGGAGAATTAACCCTTCCACCTTCACTTGTGGGAACCGTTCCTACTCAGTCAATCACTAGTCAATCACAGTACAGAAACAATCCACTGCTAAGCAACGACCTGGTAAGCACATTTCCTCGGAGACACGTTTCTTGAATAGACAATCCATCGTTAGGTAAAATCTACAGCACAATTATCACTGCCATGTAACAACTGAAAATCACGTCTCCAGGAAAGGAGTTCGGCAGAATGCAATAACCAAACACAAGAAACAGGTGTTCACTACAAGGTCGGAGCGAGACTACTTAAGGTGGACTAATATACGAAGAACCAACCAAAGAGACAGAGATCTTCTTCAGACAGATTATCGGCGGCCAGCCACATTCAATTCTTGAAACAGAATTTCGTCTGTATATTCCGTACAACTACAATAAATATTTATATAACCGTTTAATAAGTGGTTGTCTCTTCATACATCGGAGGACACGCGGTAGCGTAGTTGGTTGAGGCACTATGCTAAAAGCCGGAATATAGTGAGTTTGATTCCCGAAATCGCTGAATATTTTCAATTAACCTAATCCTTCTAGCAGCTTTATGGCCCTGTGGTCGACCCAGTCTCTAACAGAAATGAGTATCAGGAATCTTCCTACGTGTAAAGGGCGGCCGGCGCGTAAGGCTGACAAACTCACCTCCATCTCTTGAGCCGATTGTCTAGAAAAAGTGGGAGCCTCGAAGTCTCACAAACCTATGGGCTTCACGGCCTGTTACAAGGATAGATTTTTTTTTTTTTACATATTTCATAGGTAGGGTTATGTGGACATGTTGCTATATTGTACGTTATTATTTAATTTGATTTCATGGGAATAACATACCAGGATGCATTCACTGAAAACTTTATGTTGTTTTTAAAGTCCCACATTATAACTAAGCTATATCAAATCTGTATAAAATATTGATATAGTTTATATAATAAATGCTAAGTCGTTCTGTTGAAATTTCAACGGGCATTACATTATGATATAAAATAAAATACAAGTGTATTATGCTATTAACATACACCTGTACTGTATCGGCTAAGTGAGAGCCTTGTATCGTTCCAGCCACCAACAAGCAACCTGGTGATATATCCAGTGATCAGAGAAAGGGATGGCGAAAGAGAGAGCTCATATTTGGGTCTCAAAATGGTGGTGAAGCCCCATCACTTTTCAAACGGCCGTCTCAAAATCCGATGTTCTGCCACTATCCACGATATATACTATCAGAGCACGGAGAAAAGTGTGGAGGAAGAGCGGCCCAGGGGAATGCTACACGGCACACTGACCGCGGGTGGAGGCGCCCAGTACATACCAGCGCCAAGTCCATCCACAGACCTTCCTCCGTCAGGACACAGATTCGATCCGGACACGGTAGTTCAGCAAAGTAAGTCTCACGAATGAAGCATACTGTAAAGCCTAGCAGGTGGCAAATCGGGCCTTATCAATGTCTCCTTTTATGCTCTACACCTACGCCTTGTATCCCTTTCTGTCCAACAGCTTAAGCAGGAGAGTACTGAAGCGCTAACGCTCTAGAACTGTGCTAGCATGGGACACGAAATATGTCGCTTTCTCCAGTCAAATTCCGGGACGATACTTTAAAGTAGGCCACGATCGTCTCTGTCCGAATTCTTATTCACTCGTCACTCTAGATAATCGCCCCATTTCCCTTGGGTCCACTTGTGTTCTTCAGTTGAAACAGCTTCTTTAAATCATTTAATAATAAAATAAATATATCTTCTTGTGGCTTAAGAACCCAAGCAATTCTCGCGATATTTACAGATAAAATAAAAGGAAATGGAGGACGGAAACAAAAAAATAAGGAAGACACAAATGAAACTAAAATTAAGAACTATGGATCGAGGGACGTGGGAAAATAGCAGAATTGGAAACAGTGGGCCTCAAAAGGGCTATGAGCAATAGTAGAGTTAGGGGAAATGGGATTATTGAAGCATAGAAGTAAGGTAAGAAGGTCGGAAAGAGAATACGTAAAATAAAATAAAATGGGCTCCAAACCCCTTTCCTCCTCTGAGAGCGCCAAAGTGGCTAGAAGCAAGTCATGCTGTACATTACAATCTTGTTGACAGCCAAAACAGGGCTCGCTGCCAAGACTACACAGGTCGACTGAAGATGTAGACCATAATGCAGTCAGTACAGTGCCAGACTTTCCACTGAGGTTCAGAGTTCAGAGCTCGCGTGATTATTAACGCCATAAAACATTTCCCAAATGGGTTGTCGCTCCAGCTCCACGTCTCTGTTATGAAGGTTCTATTAGACCAGGGCATGCTCCGTTTCGATGTGAAGAAGCGTGGAGATTTGCAAACCAGAAACACTTCCTCTAAAGCAATTAATAAATCATCAACCACTTACGCGATTGAAAGCTTTCTTGCACACGAGATTAAGAGGAAGTGTGTTCACATGATAAGTCCCACGTTTTGAGATAGTCTCGTGCAGGTTGTAGTGAGTATTTAGGGAATTCATTGAGCCCAGCTTAACATAAAACTTGCAAATAATTGAAGCATTTGTCCCACGTATCTCGTTCACCTTCATTTTTCATCGAAGTAAACCTCAAATTCTGAGAGTACAAACTACGAAAATACTCGTTGTGTAGTTCTCTCTAGACTGTTGCTCCCTCATCTTCAGTTCCAAATATTCCCTGCTCTGAAATGAGAGCTGTGTTTGTTTGCCGTGCGTTTTAGAGCCATGCCAACCAGATACAATTATAGTTTTATATAAATCAATCTTTAGGTTACGTGGCAGAAAACCTTCCGAATTGAAGGTTACAACATTACCCAAAACATGGCATAACAGGTGACATGAATTTACAAATATTGAGGGCCTCCTAGTCATTAATAGTCATCAGACCAAAGGACAGCGGACAATGGAGATGACCACTTACTTCCTTCTGGAATAGAGATTAAGACAGAGTACAATGACATTTCCAAGGCCCCTGTTAGGTCTACACTGTCACGGAACATGAATAATCTTTCCAGAAAACACCACAATGCCTGTCAAACGCTTTGACTTCCATTTCAGATATATGAGTTCGAAGTTTCAGCCATTATGCCAGCGTTGTCTTAGTTTCCGTATGTCCTCCCAATAGAGTGGGAACACTATCTTGAATAAGCAAAGGCCGTTTTCTGCAATATCCTTCCAAGCCACGGTAAACGACGCTAAATATTACACCTCATTCCCAAATATATGACCTTACCAACTGTCAATGTGCCAAAATAATTTAATAACTAATGTATTTTAGCGTCCTGTTGCACTGATTCACGTCAATGATGTGTATTTTTGCTAACCGTCTTACAGTGCACACAATCTCACTTGTCACTTCACTACATGTTTCGGCATCACTGTGCCATCCTCAGGTATGTTATTTACGTTAAACCTATTTACAAACGACACATGATGGCGAGCAGTGCAATAGTTTAACGTAAATAACACACCTGAGGATGGCACACTGATGCCGAAACATGTAGTGAAGTGACAAGTGAGATTGTGTGCACTAGAAGACGGTCAATACATACACCTCATGGATCTAATAACTATACAATTAATAAAACACAGAAGCTTAAGTATTCCATATTCTCAGCCAACTTCATACGTATCTGTCTTTGTTGTCATGTTACATTTATCTCGAAGCTAAATTTGAATTAAACCGATTAAAATATAATCTTCAGTACACTATTTATAATTGTATCACTTTTCTGGTGTGATTGCAGACGATGTGTCGACATCTGGCGGCTGCAGGACCACGATAGCAACAATGGGATCTGTCGTTCCCTCCTCACCATTGGCTCTCATGCTTTTCTTGTTTACCGTCAGATGAGCCTCTCCACCATAAACCATCGCAAAAGCAACACAAGGCAAGGCGAGAGCAACTTCGGAAACTGCAGTAGGGGCAACAAAGAACGAAAAAGGGAAGATTTACAAGAGCAATTCAATAAATAACTTGATACCCCACACACCTCGACCCTCTCCTTCTCTAAAATTACATGGACAGGTATATCAAACGTATGAGATATATAACTTTACTGTACATGACGCTATAAATTCCCTTCTAGAAATGGGCAAGAAGTTTCGGGAATTGAAATAATGTATTAACTGCGAACATGTCTCAATTTACGTTTCAAGCACTGTGAGAAGTAACGTTTATTTATGCGCTAGCTCTTTTAGTGAACAAAACCAAGATTTGAAAAAATCGATGGTGTATGTTACTGATGAAATTCATGTTCGAAACATTCAGTTCGCTCGGTATCCCATCTGTTGGCATGCGAGGCAAGGAAAAAATCGTAGTTGATTAAACTATCGGTACTTACTTACTGATGGAGCTGAGCCCTTCTGAAGGTGCCGCCAATTCCGCAGCTACTCAAGAATTTCCCAGCATTTTATGGAACCCGAAGGTTTATTACCGTGTTCACAAGAGCCCTACACTGGCCCCTATCCTGAGCCAGATCTATCCAATCCATACCATCCCATCCTATCTCTCTAAGATCCATTCTAATATTGTCCACCCACATAGCCTTGGTCTTCCCTGTGGTTTCTTTCCTTCTGGCTTTCCCACTAATATCCTATACGCATTCCTCGTCTCCCGAATTCGTGCTACTAATCATTCATTAAGTATCCGACTACACAGAATTTAACCGAGAAGTGTAATGATTCATATATTTCTTTTGTAGAATATTTATATCTTATTTAGTGCCTAACGGAATTAGATATCAACTCCGCGGAGTCTAACAGCTGGTCAAAGAACCTCCTACTTCTTATGGAATTATAACTTAATTATCGTGTTCGCAAGAGCCGATTCTGAAAATCAAAATGTCGACCGGCCGTGAAAGAACACTCACCTAGAGCTGTGTCACAATTATACGTCGTTAACTTTATAATTTCAGTGGACATGAAAAATTAATAAGGTAGTAGCGAGGGTCATGTAAACTAAATACAAAGCCTCTTGATATAAAAGCTAAAACCCAGCAGACTGATGGAATGATAACACTATATTCAGGCAGTGCTAACAGTTTAGATTCTTTCGTGACATTCTCCGGTTCCTTCAGAAAAATTCCAGAATACTACCCCAAATTGCTCAATTACAGCTTCGTTCCATAACCTTTTCCAATCCCTTACGCACCAATCGCCCCGCCATATGATTCTATATATCTTGTGCTACTGGCTGCTTCGCTAAATAAACCTTAAAAATAAATTGAGATGCTGCTATTGTATTCTTACCGGTTTCAAATCTGAGGAAGTTTATTGATAATGCAAACTGCAGTCATTCTTTTCCCGTCATTATTTCGAGGCCAAATGTGGAACAATGTTTTGAAGTGTAGTGACCATACTACAGACTGGACGACCGCGGTTGGATTCTCTGCAGGATCTAAAACCATTCTCTTCACCTCCACTTCGAGGACGCCTCAGGAAACCGCCCAGACTAGTATCCAGTGGGTACAAAGACTTTTCCTGATGGTACAGTCCCAGGATTATGGGAAGCTAATCACTCACTTCCGTTCAGTGACGAGGTTAAAAATATATGGAGCCATATCTACACTTTCCATACGTCTTTTATTATGGTGCCAAATGTACAGGAACAAATTTATCTTTATCTTTAAATTACCAGTGGCGGCTCCTTCCAAATCTTTACCTACTCACTGTTCGTGATCACTTCACTATCCTTGAACGATGTAAATAACCTCTATAACTGAAAAATGTCATTAAATAATCAACTGAAATTACAGGTGTAACGTTACTTCTTCAGCGCAGGATGTTCAGAATGCATAAATCTGCTTGACTTCCATACAAGGGGCTACTACAACCATCGTGTACCAATTTCTTGCTACTGTATGAACCTTCCTCCTGCAATGTCACCTAATTGCTGAATGCCGCTGGATCAGATCCCACCTCCCGACACAAGAACGCACGGCAAGAGGCACGCTTCTCTCCGCCCAAGCCAGCGGCATACATCCAGTTGTCAAGCTGCACACCGTTGCAGATCCCTAATTACATATGTGTATTTTAATATGAAATTTGACTTATATTTGCCACGGTTTTCGTGGTATGTTGAATAGCTATGAAGAAGCCGGAAAGCAAGAAAATGCAGTTACGCCCAAGTCAGGATAAATAATATACATAAAACGAAATTGTAGCGAGGGTGAAAAAAACTAATGGCAGTTAATGTTAGATGGTTTTAACGGTTCTGGTTGTGTTATTTGGGCAACATTATTCTTTAGTTTTAAATGGCATCTGTATCGATAAGAACGAGAAAGTAAGGCCAGTTGTTCATTCTGTCGCCGTATCTACGTAATGTGTTATGTACTTAGTGAATGTCTATATAAGAGATCGAATTAGAAGCGATGCAGTGAAACTGTACGACAAGCACTCGCTCTTGCAACGGCACTAACATCAGCAGTGCAAATAAATAAGGGCTCGAAACAATTGGGACTCTATCCCTGTACCTACATTTCTAAATATTAGCGTACTCACTTTATATAGGTGTATTAAATACACTCCCGTCATTTACAGAATATCTCTTGAACTGTGATAGCGTATCAGTAAATAAAGTTTCATTCTGCTCTGTTGCGGGAAGTTCAGACGAGGCATACGAGTGTAAGCAATGGTGAAGAAGAAATGGCGAATCCTATGTGAGAATGGACACTGGCATCATGCGAACATGAGTCGTGTGAGGGTCAAACGTCAGACCACACGCTCGCCTGAAAAAATGTAACTGGTTTTAAGATGGTTTTCACAGACCATGGACAAATTGTGGCACATAAAATTGCATACGAACTTTCTTATATCCGTTCGTGACTGCTCGCTCCCGTTGGTGTAGATAGCCACAGAGTGGAACCACAGAAAGAGATATTCTTCCCAACAAATGCAGATTCATGAACAATATATACAGTCTTCGCACCAAGGAAAGTGCAAACGTTCAGGATAAAACTTGTACATAATCAGTCTGATAAAGTTGTTAACATAATTTAGTGTTCAGAGAAGATTTATGTTATGTAAATGCACAGATCACTACAGAACTATAAGAATCCTTTCACTGTGAACCTAACCTCACTACGTAATTCAAACACAACAACAGTTGGTTCTATACGAATCGTCAACTGCTAAATTTCATTCTTTGTAACACAAGAACATCCAACTTTCATATTCCTGTTGAGTTGACAGCCTATGGAAAGTTTCAAGTCAGCTCCAACACATTCCTTTGCTACCTCTCATGTTACGTCACCATGCTGACATGCAACAGACATTTATGAATATCCACGTGTCTGCTCCTTAAGGCAAATCTATAAAAAATATATTGCAGGCGACTCACTGTTATTAGTCACTATATGGCACGTAATGTGCATGAGGATAATAAGAATAAACCACAATTTCTTCCAAAATAGTGTTCCGGACTCATTTCTCCAGTCAAGCGGTGTTATTAAGATAGTTCTGTGCAAAGCAGACCCAAGTCACTGCTACTTACGTATAATATACGTGTGCATGTGAGAGAGTATGTACTTGCTCGCGAGGAACAACTGTGTTACAGTATTCGAGTTGGAATGCGAAGATTTAAATGGACTGAGGATTTGAATTAAAATGCATGGAAGTAATGTGATTGAGCAAATTTTGTCTAATTGTTCAAATCACGATGCATATTTATCGGTGCTAGGGCTGATATAATAACACGGGCTTCAGATATTATAACTTATAATTTAGCTTAACATGATTGTTAAAATAATACTGGTTCAGAGAAAACGTTTTCAAATTGCAAAAAGTATATCAAGTTAAGCATGTAGTTCTGAATTCCACAGTGCAAAATAACGTCTCTTCTTACTGCATAATTTTAATTTCGTCACTATTAAATCTACAGTGTGTTTGTAAATTGTATTTATTCAAAACACATACAATATTAATTTTCGAATAGTGAAAACATATTAAACTACTTGAAGTACAGCTTATTTAATACTATTTTACGAAACGGTTTTTGGTAGAGTCGTAACACAAAGATGCTGCAGACAAAATACGGCAAAAACAAAACAGAAATACCCGTTTTGTGGCAGAATTGAAATATTCATCCATGTGTTGAATGAACACAAATTATTTCTTTGTATAAACTGAAACCTAATTTGAAGAAAGTCGTCTTCTGGGTTTAGGTACCTTGTATTCTTCGTTTTGGCCGACGTTTCAGAGGAACGTAGCGCCTCCATCTTCAGAGCAGTTGAATGGCTTGGAATGCAGAGAGCAGTAGCTGTAGTGATAGGATGTGAAAGGCGCTGCTTGGAAGTCATGGAAGCATCTCTTCCCTCAAGAGAAATCCAACTAGCCACACCAGTTCTTCGTCATGTCATTGACGTCAGTAGCCTGTCCCCAACCAACCGGTTCTTCTTGTCTACCGCACTTCCTAGTACTATTGACCTCAAGCTTCCTTGCTCCC